AATGAAGGAGTTTCTATTTTCTCTGAACCGGGGCATGATTGCAGTTTTGTTCCAAAAGAAACCCACTAAGTTGCTTTGTTCAATGGGACTTATCCTGCCTAAATTCAGTCATTCTGGCCAGAATCCACAAAGTGGCTTAGTTACAAGAATATGTCAAGGCAGATGATGTCAAACTGGACCATGCTGGTGAAGTGAAACAGAGGTGAAGTGAAAGGAAAACATTTCCTCTTGTATTATTTTTACCTCCGAAACACACACACAAATATACCTAGTGCCACAACTGATGACACATATAAGAATATCATTGACACAAAAGTTGGAACATCATCTACCTCCCAGGTCAGCTGGGATTTGTTTTGAATAATGGAGCTTCTCAGCCCATTTATGTTTTTGAAAAGTGACTTCTTCAGAGTAAGGCAATAGGGCAGAGGTGGTTTCTGCACAGGCAGTTGCCAGGACAATTCTTCTATAATGCCACACTTTAACAAGAGAGCATTGTATTTTGGCAGTGGTATCTCTCCAAAGACCTATGCTACCTTTCTTCTGTGGCCTTCTTATCTCCCTCCTGGTTCTCTGGCTCTTAGAGAGTCCCATCCAGTCATGTTCACAAAAACAGTTAGGGTCACCAGCTGTTCCATATATCTCCACTATCCTGGTCATGTTCCTGCTGAAGCATGTATCATGCCAAGAGACACTGAAGCAGCCATTGTGGTGTTTACCACATGGACCCTTAGCACGGACTCTCCCAACACTTCAGCTGTAGTAAAATGCCTCCCCTAATCTAATAGTCACAAGGCCTTCATACAAACTCATGGAAGGTCTGTCCCTCAGGTTCATCCATGTACTCCTCTGTGCTGAACCTATCAGAGCATAAAACATTCTGCCTGTGAACATTGGCAAAGGACCCCAAAGGAAACTCAATTGGAAGCTGCTAGTGAAGTTGAGATACTGTCCTAACATGCCCCCTGTGATGTTAGGATGGGAGATGAGGGAGAGCCTGAAGTCATAAACAAAAATTTGGAACAAAAAAAATCTGAAGGCATCAAGAGCACCTTCTTAATAACAGTAATGAAAATAGTTACTGTTAAATTTATCAGCACTGAACACCTCATCTTCAGCCACAGCCAAAAAAAGATGAAAAAATGCTGTAACCGTCCTTTCTGTGCCAAATCTAAGTTGTCATGTGGACAAGGACTGTGTCGGTTTGCATGAGGCCCCATCAGCAGCTGTAGAAGTGTCCTGTCACCATTTACAACCTGTGTTTTATACGCACTAAACATTCTGAAGCTTTGTTTTGTGGAGACAGGAGAACCAGCAACGGAGACAGAACTTTTGCTGAGTTTCAGAGGTATGTCCCACTAAGTTTCTCAACCTTAGAACGAAACTCTATTCTATCCATCTTGTGTTAGATCTTTTAACAATGCTTCCTCAAATGCCTTGTAAAACAGTAAAATCTGGTAGTAATTATCAAACACCATACACACTGTTTACAGTAGAGTTGTAATTTTTTAAAAATGTTTTTGCACAGAGAAGTAAAATACGTCTGAAAAGTACCCAATTGTCTGCTGTATTCCATGCCAACAGGGCAATTGAGCCAAAAATGCAGGGAGAGAAAATACTGCCAAATAAAAGAAAATATAACAAATTGGTAATGGCTTCTATCTTGACAGAAAATGAAAATTATACCTCAATGTGTGGCCACTCATGTGGACACATAAGAATGTCTTACAGGCAATCATTTTGCTTCAGATAACACACCCTGACAGTAGTGCACGGCATACTGGCTGGATTTCACTTTCCATAAAAGCAGCAACCATAACCTACAAAAGGGTCTAGATATCATATAATTTATGCATATCACACAAGCACACGCATACACAACATATATAATAAATAATCACAGTGTACTGCCATATTTTGAGGAGTGGGTTGGAAGTCAGCATTATACATTCCTTCAGGTTTGCCACAATTGGATCCAGCCACCCAATCTAGTTAAGGACCCTGAAAACGGGTGGGGAGCAGAGGAATTTGAATCCCAATGGTTTTTTCCCCTCATAAGATTCTGTGCACTTTTTATAGTTTTCTAAATACTGAATGCTATGATGCTGAAACCACTTATTCCAGAGTAGCAGAATGGATAGGAAGTATCTACCGCTCTAGTTTACCCCTACTCTTGTTACATGTATATCAGGCTATGTCCTGATTCAAATTAAATGTAAAGATTGGCTTGGCACTCTATGAATGAGCTTACAATAGGGATCCCTGCGTGGACATGCCCCCTACATCGCTCATGAAGTCATATTCTCTCAATTCTTTCCTGCTTGTGACAAACCACAGTCTACGGCTTATGCTTGTTCTCCAAAGGGGCGGGGGGAGATTTTCTGGGAAAACAAGAAACGTAGTTTGCTACTTTGGACAATGGGAAGGAACTGTATGAAATGAGGTCAATGTGCATGTTAATATGTTTCAAAATGTATCAACTATGGTTTCATTCCCAAAAGAAGACAGAGGAACACAAACAAGTCCTTCTGAGTAACAATTTTGGACTCTGTACGTTGGTAAAAGGTATCCACAGAAGACACAATGGATGTTATTGAATTTATTGAATTTATTCTGTGTAAAGCAAACCCATTGTTCATAATCACAAGTAGGAGGAGAAGCAGTTGATTTGAGGGCAATTTGGGGGTGGGGGTGGGGGTACTGGGGCAGCAAAAGCCATAGGCCACAACATTTCCATCTCTTTTCTAATGAGATGAGGATGGGGGGAGAGACAGAAGAGAGACAAAGAAGGGCAGGAAGAATGACAAATAGCTGCTTGGACTGGCCAGGGCTGGCTTCCCCACCTCGCCCTGGCAGCCTTTGCAGGGYTGCCCTGGGTCTTCGCAAGGCTCCGTGGCAGCCAGGGCCAGCTTCCCCCCCTCGCCCCAGCAGCCCTACGGAGACCACGGAGCCCTCCAGAGGCCCAGGGCAGCCCTACAAACACTGCCAGAGCAAGGTGGGGAACCAGCCCTGGTCAACCAGCGGCAGGCCCCACCGCTAGATTGGCCATGGCTGGCTTCCCCACCTCGCCCGGCAGCCTTTCCGTGACTGGTTGGCCAAGGCTGGCTTCTCCACCTTGCCCCAGCAGCCTTTGCAGGGCTGCCCTGGGCCTCCGAGGGCTCCGTGGTCTCCGCAGGGCTGCTGGGGCGAGGTGGGGAAGCTGGTCCTGGCTGCCATGGAGCCCTGTGGAGGCCCAGGGCAGCCTACAAAGGCTGCCAGGATGAGGTGGGGAAGCTGGCCCTGGCCAAACCAGGGGCGGGGTGGGAAGAAGAAGCCCCCTGCAAGCAGTGGTTCGTTTTCTGCGGACTCGATGTTTTAAAACCACAAAATGTATAAAAATATATTTAAAATATTAATTCTCAGCCCTAACCACGAAACAGAGAGTCTGCGGAAAGTGAACTGCGATACATCGAGGGAACACTGTACAACTTCATAACCAATGTGGGACCACAGGAAAAGGAAAAAAAATACTACCTTAGGCTGCAAAGGAGGTGATAATCTAGATTAGAAGTCAGCAACCTTTTGACATCTGGGGCACCACTTGGTTGCTGGTATTTGAAAAGGTTAGATACTAGCTATTTATGGTGGCTATGGGAAACCTCTTAGCAGGCAACATCTAGTCTGCAGTTTGGCCATGAACACTGTGGATTAAAAGTTTAGCTATTCAATTTATACAGTAATTTCACATGTCTCCAGTAAAAGAGCAGAAACATAGCTTTCTAGGAGAATACACAAAGTCCTTCTCACTTGTCTACAGTGAACCAAATATTATGTATGATTTAATGGCAGTACTTTAAAACTGAAGAATGAAAATGAAAACTTCCATGATTAAACTCAAGTTTAGGCATACAAATGGTCCAGATAGTGGCTGCTGAATATTCCCTCTGAACTTTCTGTTGCAGAATTTAACTAATGCCAGCCTTTGGCAAGACCTTTTGTTTAAAAAGAATACAAAATAATATGTAATTAAGATGAGATATCCTTTCAAATTAAACTTAAATTTGATCAATCTATTCTTTGTGGCAATAACAAAACCAATCATATCATTTCCCCTACCTTTAATATTGCTATGGCCATACCATGACCACCACAACTGCACAGCAATACAGAAACCGAGGTCGTGTCTGCCATATAATATAGGATTCTTGCAAGTAATTCAAAACAGTCAAAATTTTCCCAGTAGCTGCAAATCCAGTAAAACCCAGCAGGCCCTATTCCTCTTTGCTACCTCTAATAAATGCAAACTCCTAAAGAATCTAAGAAAAAATAGATACATATTTCAAAGACCATTTAACTACATCCATGTTTACATTCAGTGTTCTCATTTCTCTTACAAATGAAGATATCCTTTGGCAGGCAAAGTCTTTAAGACAACGCTAGGAAGATGTCCTTTACTCACAAAATGTACAAGAAGCAAGAACTGTTATTTGTAACATGCCAACTCAAGGCGTTATGTCTCCACCATCACCTCCGTGTTTTGTCTTCCAATAAATATTTAGTACTATTTTCTTTTGACTTTTAAAAAGCCTTAGGGGAAATCTTGTTAGCATGAACTGTAACCTATTAAACAAGCAACTGTTTCAAATGTTACAGTATATTATAGCATGGGAGAAATGATTAGTTAGTTATATATTCATTTTTAGAAAGTGAACTTTTATGAAGGTAGGAGTTGTCACTTTCCAATATGAAGAACAACCTTCCTGCTCAAACTATGGTTTGGACATCAGGGCTGTGCCTCGGGGTTAGTCTGTCTTTCTCCTTTGTATATTTCAATTATCTTCCTCAATGACCAGCTGAGATGTCAAGCTGGACTAACTGCAATTCACGCAAATTAATGTGTTTCATTCAGGTTGCCTAGTACAAAGAACTTGGCGTCCTCTCTTCCCCAATCAGCAGAACCACAGGGATGTAACACTATTGTATTTCTCTCTAGGCAAAATTTGAATCCAACAATTCCTTACCATCCTTCATCATTCTCAACTTCAGGTTCAGATGCTTCATTTTCAGGAGTTTCTTCTATTGCCTGGTTTAGTTTTGATTTGAATCTGTCCAGTAGTGCCAGTGTCTGGAATTAAAGTATGATTATTTAAAACACACATTAACCATGCCAGTCTGTCTTAACTACACACTATGTATTCAAGGAGAGGAAATTTTATGCTCTGTTGTAAAATAAGTTGACTAAACATATTGTTTTAGTTTGAAATATGTGTGTTAATGATTATGTGTACTAAAGAGATATCCAAAGGTTGACAGCCAGTTGATTGTTCTGGGTGTTTCATGTCAAGTATTTTGCCTCAATCCAGTTTCATGTGACTCAATCCATGCTGTTCCAATGTACTGAATACAGTGGCAGATCTCAATACAAACAGAACTGAATTGCCATCTTCTAGAATGGGAAATCCTTCTCTTTCTGAATGAAGGATGTGGAGCAGTTTATTCTCTTGCAAAGGTCTCTGGAGAGCTTTATGCTGCTGCTCTACAGAAGGCTATGCACAAGTTTCATAAAGCATGAGCACCATCCTCAGTAGTTTGAGTTGTGTGTGTATGTGTACTGTCATTTTCTTAAATAACTGCTGTAGCATTCTGTTAGAAGTGTCTCTGTTGAGTGCGAATAAAAACATCAGCAGACAAATGCCCCTGAAAGGCAGCTTTCTCATTGTTAACAATGTTTCCTTGCAATATTGACAATATCCGGATGTGCTCACCATCCACACAGGGCAACGGTGAGGTCTGTGACTGAATTGATTGCAAAGTCTAGAATCCTCTATAATAGACAGAAGTTCCTTGGTAAACAACTCAATGTGAAGGCCACTTAATTACAGCTTGCTAAGCAGAAAATCACTCTGGCTTCAATTACATACCAGATCAATGATTCAGATAGTTTACCTGATCTTCACGAGAGGTTCCTTTCTTTGGTTGTTGCTTCTTCAGGTGTTCATATTTCTTCTTCTCTTCTAGGTATTCTGCAACTATGCTGTTTGGTACAGCTTTCTCTTCTGCATTTAGAAAACAGTGAAAGTATCCATTTTACTCAAGGATGCAATACTTACAAGCACAGAAGATAAAAGATAAAACACATGCCTGTAGAAGCTTCTTCTTTGTTACTACAGTCAAATTAGACAATCAACATGTGTATTTATCATAACGGACAGTTTCGTGGGATAACAGTGCACTGCCATGAATGTTCACATAGATAGAAGTAAGCCCATATAATTTAATGGGCTTACTCTTGGGCATATACTATCTAAAACCACGATTTCAGGCTAAAATTTGCTTATTTAGTTACTATAAAATATTTATACTTAAACTCCCTGATGGACAACTATTGTTTTCTCCTACCCTTGGAGAGGAATTTTGTTTATACTTTGGATCTTTCAGTACTCTCTTTTTACAAGTACTGTATATTAGAAATGCAGAAGTTCATACACAATACTCTTATCTCTTCCATGTAAATTTCTGAGGAACCTCCTCTAAAAAAAAAGATAACTTTCTAACATTTGGAATGCAAAATCTTCCTTGAGAATATTGTTGGAAAGGCTTTGAAACTAACTAATTTTAAACATGGCAGCACTTACGATTTTTGGAACATCTAACAGACTTCTGCACCACCATAAATGACACATTTGCATTCATCTCTTTCTAGTTGTGGACCATACAAACTATTCTATTACTCTTGCAGATGTTACAGACAGTCCCAAGAGACTACCTATTCCATTATAGAACACTAAACTCTAAATGTACCACAGCATATGTGATCTGAAATAAGATTACAGTTGCCATGAAGGCTATGCAACCCCAAAGTATCCCAGACAAGATGGTTACAGTGTAAATGCTGAAGCATTCCAAGATGATGGGAGTCTCTGCACTACTTCATACAATGCCCTGTCAGCTGTCGATCACTGAGATTGGTTGTACAACTACAGAATCCAGATGTTATCTCAAGTAGCTATCACAAGGTACAGGCACAATGTACAGTGGGAGATTGTTGGAAGAAATACCTGATCAGGAGATGGAATCACTATGGATCAAGACCAATACCGCATACTCAAATTTACAATATCTTCATGACATATGTCTCTTTATTCTTCTTACAATTTGATAGATGAGAAAGTAAGAGCTGAATTGTGCTTTAGTGAGTGTCACTCTACCTCTTGAGGTGGAAAAGAGAGTAATTGAAAATCTCCGCCCATATGTTAAAGAATCAAGTTTTCCTCTCCAACTTAAAACTGAGTGAAAGCCCAATCCTATGTTTGTTTATCCAGTAGATAGTTCTGATGCATTTGCTGGAGCTCTCTCCTCGGCAGACTTTTTGAGGAGTGTAACTTAAACTATGCAAGGCATTCCTCTACAAGGGAGGTGGGCAAAGTGCAGCCTTTCAGCTATTCTTGAACTGAAACTGTCAGCATTCCTCATTATTGGCTATGCTGACAATATCTAGAGGGCCATGTTTTGTCTACCCCTTCCTATAAATCCTTAAGAGTATTGGGTTGTTTCATTAAGAATGACTATAAGTGGATGACTCACATGTACAATACAATATTAGAGAACAAAATCTGTATTATGCCATTATAAGAAAATGATGGACTTCACGACTAATGGAAAGTAAAATATAATATTGCACAACTTCCCTTTACATATTATCACACATGGAGATAATAACTGAGTTTTTGTAAATGGCTGGAAAGAACATGAGGAATTAGCCCATAGCTGCTAATGGGTTTGCTTTGATTTGCAGATTAATAAAATAAATTGATCTGTGAAACAAAGAAATGAAATTTTTTATCAGAATATTATAATCATCTATGTGACATCTAAATGTATGCTAATATATGTTTCTTTGCAGAAGTCAGTCAGTGAGTCTGATCTTCTTGATAGTAAGGCTGTTTACCCCTAAATATGTGTCATATATATGCTAGCTCATTAATCTGAATGCAATCAATAAAATGTTTATTGTACTTACACATTAAACATTTTAGATGTGTACCGTTCTTCTAGTAAATATAATTACTCAATTGAGTCTAGCTTTGTTGGAAATGGCAACCATCCAAGCCTCCACTAACTGTTTGTAAATGTGTATAATTATCAACCTATATTGTATGTACATTTTGGTTTGCCAGTTTTACTGTACCTCTTTGGTGTGGGAGGGGCTTCAGGCACAGGACTCCATTTTGTATGTAGGTCTGTGGAGGTGGATGCATGTTTGCTTTTGGACTTCAATGTTATAAGTCTTCTCACCACTTCTTTGGAGGTGAATGTGTGTACTTATGGACTTGAGTGAGTACAGATATAGGTACAGCTGCGCCTGTACCTTGGGAAGTCTGACTTGGGCACGGTAGTCCATGCTCTGGTTACATCCCGTATAGACTACTGCAACGCTCTCTACTTGGGGTTGCCTTTGAATATGGTGCGGAAGCTTCAACTAGTTCAACGAACGGCAGCCAGGTTGTTAACAGGAGCGGCGCTCAGGGAGCATACAACCCCCTTGTTGCGCCAGCTCCACTGGCTGCCAGTTTGCTACTGGGCCCAATTCAAAGTGCTGGCTTTGGCCTATAAAGCCCTAAATGGTTCTAGCCCAACTGACCTGTCCGAATGTATCTCCCCTTACGAACCACTGAGGACATTAAGATCATCTGGGGAGGCCCTGCTCTTGGTCCCACCTTTGTCACAAGCACGTTTGGCGGGGACGAGAGACAGGGCCTTCTCAGTGGTGGCCCCTCGGCTATGGAATGCCCTCCCTAGGGAGATCAGATCTGCTCTCTCTCTCTTGACGTTTCAGAGGCAAGTTAAAACATGGCTATTCGAGCAAGTGTTTACAAATACAGAGTAGCTAAAATAGGAAATCGAATAACCTGTCAATGGAACTAGACAACACTTGAGAATAATGAGACGCTGATGATGTTGTTTTTACTGCTTTTGTGATGTTTTATACTGTTTAACTTTTTTTATCTATATTATGTTTTATGTATAGTGATTTGTTGGAAACTGCCTTGAGTCACAGATTGGCTGAGAAAGGCGGTATACAAATACAGCAAATAAATAAATAAATAAATAAATACAGATATACCTGAAAGACTATGTGCCTGTATGGTAAATATATACCAGTTTGTTAGTAAACAAGATATGTTATTTTTCAAAGAAGACTTCTTTGTTTTGTCTCTTGAGTGCATGTTTTAACTAAGAGGTTTTAAGGGAGTGTATATTCTTTTTGGGCAACAGCAAATTACAACTGAAATTTCTACTTCAAAGAAACAACCATCCTCTGCTAACCAAATATATTTTTGTAGTGGCATTTCTTAGTCCTTGGCCATTTAAAGACATGATTCTTCAGTTTAACAGCTGAGCTACCTGTGTGCTAGTACATTAATATTTTATGAATATCACTTGTCTTAAAGGTTGACTTCTAACAAGGTCATACTTTTCTTGACTTGTGGTTTTCAAGGGGTTTCTATGTTTATAGCGATTCGCATTTGCCAAACGGAGGTGACATCATTTTACCTTTGCAATAAGGTTATGGTGCACTGGAATTTCCAATAGATTATTGAATTTCCAATAAGCTTCTCACTTGTCAAACTTTACTTTCCACTTAGCTTCAATTCAGCCAACAAACTTAAGTCATTCTCATTGTAAACTCTTCCTCTCTGTTTTGTTACCCAAGACTAAAAGATAAGTCAATATAATGTTATTTTGTAAATTTAAAAATCTAAATGAATAGATCAATTCCTGGAATAATCTACAGTTACAAAAGATGCACAGGAAATATACGTATGAAGGATGCTTTTGAGGACCTCTATGGCCATAAGTTAAAGATGACTTGAGGGCAGTTAACACAGTGAAGAAATGCAGATATTATAAAGTAATGCAATGCAATGATCAAGCTGATAACTAACTGTGAAGAATTAGGGTAAAACGTCTTCAGTATTCAATACATTCAGATCAGGACAGGATCAAGAGATTAGAGAAACTACTGGGAGAAAAGTATGAGACAAATGCTTCCTTTATCTGCAAGACTGGATTCAGGTTTCCAGCTTTCAGCAACACTTTGTCTTAATCTATTTTACTCTTTTTATTTGGTGCCCAAGACCAGCCCTACAGGATGTTGAATGATGCTGCCTCCAGGCACTGCCTTTCCAGCTGTTATAACTGGCTGCTGCTCTTATGTTTAATGGTAACTATTGACGGCTTTCTTGTTTTGTCCTGTCTTTTTTGGCTGAGGAAACCACAAATCACTGCAAAAAGAAAATGCACATGTCTAAAATCATAGACGGATTTCATCATGTTAATTTTAAAAAAACAGAAACAAACAGAAGCAACAAAAAGTGTAATGAAGGAAAACCAATAAGTTATTTAAGTAATTGTTGCAACAAGCACAGTGGATTCATCTATTTCTCAACTATTTTGGATGCAAAGAGTACAATCATATTATTACTAATTTGTCAAAGGTAAAGAGTTGAACCCCTGGACATTTTACTTGTTCTGTTACCTTTTACACATTCATGGAGTTGTGAATTTGTTAAGAAATCTGGCTACAGAAAAAAATGTGGTTGGCCCTGAAAGGTCAATTTCTGTGTATGGAATGACTTAAAAATATTTGGGACAAATTTTTAAATTATTTGAAAAATCAAGTCATTGAGATGGCTGAATTCACTGACAAAATGGAACATTTGTGGCAGAAAATCAAGGTGATAAATAAACATATATTATTTCATAGGAAAATGTTTAGGGCTGTATGATATTGATTCATATAGCTTGTTGGGAATATCTTAAACTATGGTTTTCTGATGTAGACACTGCCAGAAACTATGGTTTAAGAAATCAGAAAAGCTTCAATGAAGCGGAGCATAAAAAGAAAAGGGCAGGGCGAGGAGATGTGTCATAGGTGCAACATATCTGTAAATAAAACATGGTTCACTGGTCTGCTCTTACATCCAAAATGGCCTTATTTATATATAGAATTTAAAACAACAACATATATTTCAATTTGTTGTTAGAAATGCTA